GTCACCAGCCTGATCAGTTCTTCCAGTTTTGCATTTTTCCTTTTGACAAAGCAATGTTTTAGAGTCAAATCTATGAGGGAAATATGTAAGCATCATGGTTGAATGTACTTTGCTGGAATAAGTAAGTCCATGTAGACAGCTATGCTTTTTTTCAAGAGGTTGTTTGCATGCACACTAATACAACACTGAAGCTCAGTGGGTTGTTTATTGCTGGTTTTTTAAATAACCCTGGAAATAACAATAGTACATTTTGGTAGATTGTTTCTCCATTCATCTTTTCAGTGGGAAAAGAATAAGTGTATACTTTCTGTTCTTCAGGTCCACTCAGTACAACCAGCTTGTTGAAGGTAGAATCCTTTCAGTCTTTTCCAAATGACATACTTAAGCAAAATGTCATATAAAAAAAACACACTTTCACTTTTGTTTTGAGAGATCTTTTCAGTTTGGTAGGAATTTTTTAAAAACTTATTCCTGGAGTTCTTTTTATTCTTGTCCCTATTGTTTTTTAATAAACCATACTTCTCTACGTGCACCTCCGAGCTTCCTCAGCAAGTGAGGCTGCATCTTTCCCTTTCAGTGTGGTTCCCTAGTCCACTACTGTGGTTTCTCCTGACTGACTTGACTTCAGGATACGTCCAGCAAACACAGTGAAGCTGTGTATCTGATACATTAGCACTCAAGAATCTTCTGTGTAGTTTTCCAGAGAGCAAACTGTTTGCACGTTGTTAATTTTCAAACTTGGAAGTACAATGACACCAGATGTACAAGCTAAATATTGCTTCATACTTTAGTATGGTAAGCCTTAAAGGACTTAATTGGGGGTAGAATTTTGGGGAATGCATTTCCTTCTAAGAAGGCTATCCTCTATAGCAGAGGTAGGAAAAGCACCACCACCATAAGCAGCAGGCTCCTAGGCTATGTCAAAGTCAGCCTTTTCTCTTGAAGGATGTGCTCTTTATCCTCTCTTGTTGTAAGAAAACTTCCAAAAGGCAATCTCAACAGAGTCCAGAAGGATCCTGTAATAAAATTCCAGTTTGAAGGCAGAAAATCCATAAAAAATACAGTAATCACACAAAGTGTTCTTCCGTTTTTCCACAGGAGATGAACAGATGCAGCTTTAGAAAGAAGTTCTGGACCTCCCACTCTTCCACCTCAGGCTTCCAGGTTCCCAATGCAATGGTCATTGAGGTAACATTGGCCAGGATCCCACTGGGAGATTGGTGGGCTTCAGAGGATGCTGGTTTCTGTTTCCCAGCATGTATAATGACCACTAAGCCTTCCTCTTGAGACAAACTTTGCACAGGCTCCATGGTAAAAGGAACTTAGCAGAGAGCATTCTTTATTGTCCAGATAAGCTCATAACTGGCAAATATCATCCAATTTTTTTTCATTAAAACTTGTGAGAATCAGTTTCCCCTTAAGGTCTACATAAAATAATTACTCGGGGAAAAAAGGCAAAGAAATTCTTGTTTAGGCAGTTCTAGTATTTTAGTGCCAAAGCTGAAGTGGGAAAAGTGAGAAATACAGAAATGCAGCCACCACAGATATAGATTTTTTTTTTTAAGACTGGAACCATACCTTGGCACTAACAAGGAGAACGGACATAAAAAACTAAGCTGTTACATAGTTACTGTATTTTTATGGCTTCCAGAAGTCAGTTTGGTACCCAGCCTAACTTGGAGTGGATGCAAGCCTGTTCTAATTTTGGGTACAGTGATGTTCAAGGAAATATTCAAAGCCCTTGCTTGCTGTTTCTTAAAAAAAGCATAACAGTGTTTAAGTTAAGATTTGTTCTGTAATAAATATAACCACATACTCAAATTTGTATGTTCCATTCTCAAACACATACACTATATGCAACTTCAAAATAGCTGCCATTAACTTTAGAGTGCTGAATCATAAAAAAATAAACGCACTAAACACAGTGAAATTAAGGAAATAGATACAAGAAAAAACCCCATCTATTTTATTAGTTTCTCTTTGTTTTTAAGCGCAAGCACATAACAGCCTTTCACAATTTGTAGTCTAAACTTAATAAGGTATGGTACTGAAAATGGAGTCTTAATATATAATGTTTCCTTCAGTCATTTTATGATTAAATGAGTTTTCCATTTACCAATGGAATCAGTTTTATTTTATGATCAATGACAGAAGTATAGCATACTATTTCTTGTACTGCACACTATTCCCAGTTCTTATGCCCTTATAAAAAGTTACCTTTTGTTGAAGAATACAGACTGAACAGAAACACTCTCAAGTGTTTAAAATACTTCTAAAAAGCAGCATGTATATAGTTCTGTAGGTTTTACCAGAGGTGTATAATTTTTCAGCATTACATCTTAATGCCAATTTCCTGAAGCAGCTTTGACTACAAAAGGCATGAATATGTTTTCAAAGGATGATGGATAAATTGGTGGGTGGTAATATAATATATCTAAGGCAGCTGATCAGGGCTTTTTATCCTCTGCTTGTCTTTTAGTTATACACAATTTCAAGATAATTATGGTCTATAAGAATGTCTTTTCCCCTTCCTACTACCAGCAATATTTGTCTTGGTTATAGGTTCAAGAAACTTCCAATCACATCATAAAATTAGAATAGGGCAATTATGGCATCTCAGCAGAGAACTGAATGTATAAACAGGCTGACCACACAACATGGACATAGGCAGTTAAGGAACTGCCTTTATGTAATATAGCAGTTAATTAGAATACTAGCTATAGAATATATTGAATCCATTCCTTAATTTTACAAAGCAAAAAACAATCATAAAATGTACAATTCAGGTTGATATGTACCAAATCTATATTGCCTTTCCAGTAAAGCATACAGTCCAATCAGATACTGAAAAGAAATGAATTACTAATGTCATTAAATAAAATGCAATGTTATCCAACAGTCAGATATGTTAAATTAAAATCCTGACTTGGTGGAGACATCCAAATCCCAAACACCTCATTTTTATGAAAGAAGATGACTTCTTGAAGCACCTGAAGGTCCTCTCTTTTAAAAGTCAGGTGAGACAGTCAGGGAAAACTCCTCTACCTCTGTGATTTGGAGACTTAACTGCGGCCAATGCCAGTCTTAGATTGACTTTTTCCAGGTGAGGCAATAATGTTTCTTAGGTAACACATATTGGCATGTCAAGAAGTGCTTAAGCTTTCCAAGTGAAAGTACGCAATTTTCTAGATTGATGTCTAGCATATTACAGGGTTGCTTCACTGAAGCAATTTCAAGACAGCAATACAAATAAAAAAAACAACTCTACTGTGTCTTGTCTGTTAAGCAAAGGAAGTGTTGAATAGTCCAGGTAAGAGTATAAAAGCACAGACAAGAGTACTGTTGGATATATAAACACATAAACAGAGGAAGAAAACAAGATAAAATTATGTTTTCCTCAACTTTCTTGTCCATCCATTTATAATCTCTTGTAGTAACACCACTATGGAGTTACAACAGAGGAATGCAGTATTATGACCCAGTATCTACCCATGAAAAGACAGAAGGAAAACTTATTCCAAATCAGACAACAGAGCTCAGTAAATCACATTGGACTAACGAACCACAAACTCAAACTGGTACAAGAAGGACAGATGTATGTAACAATGTTGATTAGCATAAAGAACAGGAGCTAGGAAAAACATGACACGCTATGAACAACTGATTCAAAGGTGAATGAAAGAAGAATAAAATGTATGTTAGCTACTCCATTTTATGAAATGTTAATGCAATGCAATAAAAATATTTATTTGAATAATTTAATTTTGATGAGAAAAACAACTGCAATTATCATGTATTGTACGGTTAGAGAATCAATGACTTGATTATCAGTTACTTAAAAACAAATATTATTTAAAAATATAGCATGTTCTTATGTAATTCATACTTCACAATTAAATTTGAACCTATTTGTTTAGGCTATATTCTAAACCACAAGAAAAAATGATAAAAATTTCACCCCTAAATAAACCCTCTTTAGGTTCAAGATCATAAAAAAAATTACTAGATTTTTCATAACCACAATAATCTAATTTCATTAAGAATATACTTTTTCCTGAATACTGAAGATAATATTGAATAGATAAGGCATAGAATATACCATCACCAGGTAGGAAAAAAGAAAAGTAATCATTTTGTCTAGAAACAGGCTCTGAAGACTCTTAAGGAAATAGCCAGACTTCACTTGATGCAGAAGTAATCAGTAAATTATATGTTACTTTTGATATTAGAAAAAAGCAGCCTTAGAAAGACATAAAATATTTAATGAAATTTTGTAAGATTATCCTCACACTTCAGCAATCTTTGTAGTGTTGATCAGGCTTTTCCCCTTATATAATTTCCTTATAATGGAAACTATCAGTGTTTGATTAGGAGCTCACTGAAGTCTGAAAGGAATCTTTCTATATGACCTGATCCAAAGCTGACCATGTTTCCTAGTAGAAAAAAAGACCATCAGAATGAACAGTATGTGTGAAGGAAGTTGTAAAGATGTTAAATGATACTTTTCTTTCCATAGGAAACTAAATAAATATCTACACAAATTGTACACTGTTTCCACTACAATATATTGGAAGCAGCTTGACTACTCTTCCTGATAGGCAGGTGGAAACTGTAAAAAGTTGGGTTTACTCAAACCATTCAACTAAGCCAGCTTGTCCGACTGGTTTTCATCCATAATGAAAATAAAGGATAAGCAGGCTCCTAGCTTGATTTGGTCTTGGGAGGATCTTTCTCCATTGTCCGTAGATGGCAGCTAGCAAGCTAAATTTAATTCACAAATCTGGCTAGTGGAAATACTCCTGCACTTCCCAACACATTCTTATGAATCACCAAGATTAATTAATTTATTGCTACATATTTATCAATATGGTGATAGGCGCTTTATATATATATATAACTATAAACATATGTATAGAAAATATATGCACTTCAAAATATATATAAAGATAAATTCATCAAGAGATTACAGCTTTACTTGTCAAAAGCTGAGTCTTTTTTACCTTTAAGATGTTGTCAGGATGCTCTGTAGCAGAAGCAACAAACAAGTCATGTCCACAGACAACTCCCTCTGCGAGAAAATACTTGAATAACAAGTTGGAGTAAAGACCGTATTTATCTTCCTCTGTGAAAACAAGAATGGTTAGAATTTTTTGTTAGATAAATTACCCGCCTGTATCTTTACACCACTATAAAAGCCCTCTTTTGGTCTACCTCCTAGAGTATATAATGTACAACAGAGATAACAGATAAAATATGATTCCAAAGCTTTAAAAATAATTCTTGATAATATTGCATTATTAACTTTTCAAGCCAGAGAAATGATTCTCAATCACGTATTTGATTCTAACATATGGATGGGATACAGCAGTATAGTGCTATCTTCCTAACAAGGTTTCCCATAAATATCAACGAAGATTACTGAAATCATGGTTTAATGGGAAGGGGTTTTGTTTATTTGGGAGAACTGTGTTAATGTTTTATGTTCTTAATGCTTACAGTATTAATCAATTTGCTTAATATATCCATTAATTGATGCTTTTCAAAATTTAATCATATTTGGCATGCTAAAGCTATATAAAGGTATAATTTCTTATAGAGACATTCTTACATCTGCATTTCTTTCAAAACTGTAAGAACTACAAAAACAGGCAAAGCAAACAGATATATTGAAAAAATTCAAAACCAAATGCAACATCATTTTTGAAAGGTAACCAGTGCAAAATTATGAACACATTCAAAAGACATGTGAACTTGCAGTTTAAGTAGTGAGACAATACTTGTTAACACACATTGTGAACACCAGCCTACTGAAGTAAAAATACAAATTCCCACTGACTTCAGAAAGGCTAACATTACCTTCAGCTTCTTTGTTTCAACTTCAGTATTAGAAATTACCACAATTAGAAAGTTTTAATAAGCTTCATACAATTAAAACTTATAAAAACTCAAAACTATAGGGGAAGTGAATGAGTAAATAACAACTGAAATTTGAACCATCTCAGATTTTCTTTATTTTTAGGAAATATAAACAATAGCAATGTTAATGCTAGCAAAAACATTCCTAACAATACAACTACCCAATTAATTGTCCAGTGAAATTTTACATCGTGCCCTTTTCAGCAATATTTTTCTAATATTTATTTAGCAAGATACCTTAAATATTTTGTTTCGGGGAAAAGTAAATGCAACAATGTAAGGTTTCACTTTTTCATCTGTTAATTTGGCTGCTGGAAGATAATATACAGGAACGTTGTGTCAGAAAAAAACAGACAAATTTTCTTTATACAGAAGCAACAAGACGCTTAATCTCTTCTTTGTGTGACTTGGAAACAATTTCCTCCCTATTATGAATCACATATGAAAATATTTAAAAAAACCCCACAAAATCAGTAACAAAAGCTCCAAATAAGAAGGTAATTAATATCTAACTTGTAAAACATACTAAAGAAGGAAAACAAAAAGAATATAACTTTGGTATGTACCAGAATAGTATGTGTTGGACCTTAAGAGTCAAAAAGAACCAATGAAGTGAAGTGGGAGGAAAAGAAGAAAGGAGATGTATATCTGAAAAGGAGAAAGAACATTAATAGCAATGGGAAGACTTAAGCTACCAATCACAGAAAAAGTGTTGCACTGTTACACTCCCGATATAGTACACAAGTACTGACACTTACAGTGCTTAGATTAACAGGAGACAGAAATTGAAACCACAAGTTTTCAAATTCACCGGAGAATGAACAGTTCTCCCAGAGACATTCCCCATCCTCCATGGGATATTGGACTTTTTTTTATTTCACTGTTAAATTTAGTATTTGGGATACCTTTTTTTTTTTTAAAAAAAAGCTAAAAGGTATTAACTTAAAATTTGGAAAATTTCTTTCTTTCATTTCTTTCTTCTTCCTTCTTCAGAATAATACCTAAAGACATAACAGCAAGATTACCCACCTTGTTGTTAAGAAGAAATACTTACTTAAAAGTTTCCCTTTCATTAAACCCAATAAATGAACTGAAAGTGACTCTAAAGCAGTATTTTGAGACAGAGAAAAATGCTCCATAACACAGTCACTAAGACATGTAATTATTTAAAACTGGACATCCAAATAAACCAAAGGGAATACAATAATTACACCACTATTGCTACTAGTACCAGCCATTGATATACCCAGGCTGTTGTGGAGTCTGAGGGTTTTAAGAACTCAGATTATGTTAATATAATTTACCTTTGATACTGTTAGCCTGCTTAGTAGGCCCTATATACTAATATACTTCCAATAACACATTTATCTTCTTTAAAAATAACAGTCTATTGAAAAATATGGACGGATCAGTATTGTGAAAAGTACAGTACTGACAAATGCTTACTGTTGACAGTGCTGGGTCAAAAGCATTACAGAATTACAAACTGCAATTTCCTTGAAAGTTTGGCACTCTTAATTAAGTATCACATGCTTAAAAAGCCATTAATAGTGTTAATGAAGAATTGTTTTCCTATAGTAACTGAGCAACACACGTCGTGCTGTGACAGAGGATGTAGGTCCATGTGTGAGACTAGGAGGGAGACAAGACTCAATTCAGATAGAACTGAAGCACTACAGTTGCATAAGCAAAAAATAGAACTGACACTGTCTAGAGTTTTGAAGAAGTATTACCGTCTTATTTTGTAAATATAATCTTTGGAGCCTGCTTAGATCTTAAACTGCTTCAACAAGAGGAAAAATGCTATGCAGAGTAATTCTGTCTTATAACTGGAGTCCAGGAACACATACAGCTCCTGCCGTCTAAATGCTGGCGCTCTCTAGTTACTTATGCTTTGGTTGCTTACTGCAATATAATTGGTAATACATTATTCACAGTATATTGACTTCCATGTGCTAATCTCCATCTACGAAGCTCTCAATTTAAGAACCAAAGCCCTCTAGAAATCAAAGTGACAGCATGATACCTACTTATTTTTTTTAATAAAAAATTGTCTGAGCTACCTGAAAGAAGCCACCAAGCTTCCCATGTAATCACACCACTGCAGCAGATGTCAGTGGAGGGAGACAATTTTGTTAGACCTCCCTTCCTTTGAACAAAAGAGGAAATGGAACACTAGATGGGTGCTCTGGAAGGATTCTTAGCTGTAACATTTACTTCATCCTTGGTGAATCAAAAATCTTGATTTCTTAATTTTTATCTACAGGTTAAAGTTCACCTTCATCATTTGAGGCACAGAAACACTGATTTGTATTGCATATGGACAGGACTTAACTGACATTTAATTGACTATAAGCCAATATCTCATTTAGTCCAAGTATTTTATGATTTGTGTATGTGCCTGGAACTATACAGAGAGTCTTTCTGGATCAATTTTTGATAGTAATTATTCCTTAGACAGTAAACAACATGCTCAATTTTGTGCCAAATATAACATAGAAACTCCATAAAGCATGGATAAATACAAGAAATCATACTGTGTGTTGAAGATTATTTAAGTAACCTGAGTGAAAATAAGGCTGTAGTTGTTAAGAATTTTTACTCAAATTTTATTTGAAATGCTGAAATGTTGAAACAAACTACAGAAGTGAAGCAATGGGGAACAGAGATATAAACCCTTTTACTGACCTATCCAAGATTGTAATTCACTTTATTGAGTGATAGACTTATTTTCAGTATAAGAGGACTAAAGAGGTTCTTATACTGCTATACACTTCCAAAAGATATTTTGCAAAACAATAAGGAGTTTTCCATTTAGCAAATTAAAAATATTTACATTCAGTGTAAGGACACAACATTTTAGCATTATCCTTTCCTTTAGTCTTTTTACATTTATTTTAATAACAGAAAACTTACAGTAGAAATAGGAAATGAACTATTGCAGAGTGATCTAAATATAAAACACCTCATAGTCTGCTACAGTACTCTAAGGATTAAATGTGTCTCAGAAAGCCTTTACAAACAGTGTATCTTGAATTGTTAAAGGCAATGCATCTGTAAGAATCCCTCAGTTCTTCAATTTGTCACATAGAGGATGGCTTTTTATTGATTCATTTCTAGGTCACTAAACTTTTGTGGTATTCAAAAGATCTAAAGTGCACCCATATGGGGCTTTTCTGATAGCATCCATTGTACCCTGGCTTCAATAGTTACGTTACTATTCAAAACCATAGGAGTAGAGCTTTCTTCTTGTAAATAAACAAACAAATCATTTAGCACAGGTACTTCAGTAGCTCACTGATTACTTTCACAGATAAATTGAATGAATACTTTGAAGTATATGTGCTTTCCGATAACACTTGGACTTACTCTTTTGATGGTTAGAACAGATTCTCAACTGTTACCTTTATTTTTCCAAATTACACCCACATCCAAAAGAACTACCTCCATTCTATATGTGTAGGAACTAACACTTAAGTGCATTTTAGTCAGCCAAGATACTTAAGACAAGCCTGGCCCAAATCTTTATTCTTAGCCTCCATACTAAAGAGCTGTCCCCTCAGCAGCCTTCATTGTGAACTTTACTTCTAGCTAATAAGGCACATAAACAAATAAGACTCTTGCAGCTGCAGACTCTTTTCTGCGTCCAGTCACCGCAAGTCACACAACAGTCCGCAGTTTTCTCTGATTCTTTTTGAACAAAGAGTGTTCTACAGCTAAGTAGCAGGTGAGTAACTAGTGAAGCATAAAACTATACAAGGAAAAGAGATTATTTACCTAGAAGTTATGCATATTGTCTCCAGGACAAAACCTCTTCTGATCCTACAGATAAGGATATAAATAAAATAGTTTATTGTGATCATTATCCACTGGTCTCTTTCCACAACAGCATGCTTTCATGGCTAAAAAAGTCATGAAGAAAAAGCAGTATTGTCAGTTTCAGTGCAATGAAATACAACATATAACCATGCTGAAAACTAAGGATAAAGACCAATTCCTTTTTATGGCTTTTTTCACCCCTAGACTGTATAGGCTACTGAGCACAGAAGAGACATTCTCAACACCTTTGTGCATGAACTGTCTGTAGCTACTACTCAGACATATCAGTGGGTCACGGAATTAGATATAAAATTTTAAGGCACTGGAGTTTAGCTAGAGCACACAAGACAGAGAGCAGATATGAGTGAAGCACTGTAAATATTTACA